GAACAATACTCGATTTAACGGGCGATAACGTCCCTGAGGTTGAACCAGAAGAGAAATCATAACATAACATGAAGTGCAAATTTAAAACATGAAATAAATGAAAGTGTCGGTGTTTTCGTAAAATGAGAAAAAGCGTCGTGATGTTGATCCAGAGTCCAGCACGTGAAACAGAAACAGACACTTGGAGCTCGGACGCAGGGTCGTTTTGTGTCACTACGTTCAACATTCAGGGCTCTGAGCAGCGCCCCCTGCAGGTCAGGAGGGACTCATAGAACCAGGGTTACGTAACTGGAGGAGTGTTTGTGTTTCAGGAGCGAGAGATCGAGGAAGAACGACTCATTAAAATGGGAGAGAGAGACGACACCCTCCCCCCAGAATACAGACAGGTACTACAAATACTACAAATACTACTACAAATACTACTACTACTACTACTACTACTGCAGAATACAGACTGACAGAAGAAGAACGCAAGGTACTACAAATACTACTACAATAACTACTACTACTACTACTGCAGAATACAGACTGACAGAAGAAGAACGCAAGGTACTACAAATACTACTACTACTACTACTACTACTGCAGAATACAGACTGACAGAAGAAGAACGCAAGGTACTACAAATACTACAAATACTACTACTACTACTACTGCAGAATACAGACTGACAGAAGAAGAACGCAAGGTACTACTACTACTACTACTACAAATACTACTACTACTGCTAATACTGCATAAATACTAACAAAATACTGCATAAATACTAACAAAATATTGCATAAATACTACTGTTATACTGTTACAAAAATACTACCTAAATATTATAAAAACACTACCAAAATACTACATGATTACTTTCAAAGTACTTCTAAAATACTGCATAAATACTAAGATAAATACTGCATAAATACTACTGTAATACTGTTATAAATACTACTATAATACTGTTATAATATAAATACTACTGTAATACTGTTATAAATACTACAGAATATACAAATACAAAACTGAAGTTCAAAAATCCAACACGTTTCCACATAAATATGAGAATCATTTTTGGTCTTAATTTTTGTTTATTTTCTGTTTTGTGTTTTTCAGAAAATGGAGGAGGAGAAAAACAAAGTCCCAGAGTCTCCTCGAGAGGTCAGAGGTCACGTCGTCTTCACCACGACGACACGTTTCAGTCTGGAAAAGTCCCAGGAGTTTTTATTTTATTTTGATTGTTTTGTTTTGTTTCAGACGATGGACGACACCACGGCTCTGGACCTTCTGGCCGGAGACTTCTCCTCTACTCCTGCACCCGCCGCACCCGCCGCACCCGCCGCACCCGCCGCACCTGTCAGCTCCTCGGCCTCTGCACCTGTCTGCTCCGCCCCCAAAGAGGCAAATAAGGTGCGTCAGTGGCAGAGTGGTTAGCCCTTTGAAACAGCTCCAACTACTACAACTACTACAACTACAACTACTACTACAACAACTACAACTACTACTACAACTACAACTACAACTACTACAACTACTAACAACTACAACTACTACAACTACTACTACTAGACCTGGTTTACTGGTTTATACTGGTTTAGAAACTGGTTTAGTCCTGGTTTAGTCCTGGTTTAGTTCTGGTTTACTACGTTACTGGTTACTGGTTTAGTCCTGGTTTAGTCCTGGTTTAGACTGTTTAGTTTAGTCCTGGTTTAGTCTCTGGTTTATCCTGGTTTATGGTTTAGTTCTGGTTTAGTTAGTCCTGGTTTAGTTCTGGTTTAGTTCTGGTTTAGTCCTGGTTTAGTCCTGGTTTAGTCCTGGTTTAGTTCTGGTTTAGTTCTGGTCTTGGTTTAGTCCTGGTTTAGTCCTGGTTTAGTCCTGGTTTAGTCCTGGTTTAGTTCTGGTTTAGTCCTGGTTTAGTCCTGGTTTAGTCCTGGTTTAGTCCTGGTTTCTGGTTTAGTCCTGGTTTAGTTCTGGTTTAGTTCGAGCTGTTTAATGTCTCACTGTGTAACATTTGTTCCATAGAAACAAACAGGTGTCGTTTTCCCAACAGAAAAGTTCCACAGTGCAGCTTTAGTGAAGTTAAAGTCACACTTGTGTTTGTTTATTTATTTATTTGTTTGTTTATTTATTTGTTTGTGTTTTTGTTTTTGTTTTCAGCCGATGTCGAGTAAAACTCTGGAGTCTCTGTCAGACACACTCGTGTCCGACCTGAAGAAGAACGACAAACCCAAGGTACAAACACAACTACACCTGATGCCCTCCCACGTCACAACAACACAACTACACCTGATGCCCTCCCACGTCACAACAACACAACTACACCTGATGCCCTCCCACGTCACAACAACACAACTACACCTGATGCCCTCCCACGTCACAATTAGAGCCCGACCGATATGGATTTTGTTGTGGACGATATGAAACCGATGTAATGAGAGTTGGAGCTGCCGATATAATCGCCGATATATTTAGTGATGTAAAAATTCACTGTAAATGTTGAATTGTTTAAAAAACT